GGAAGAATGAAAATGGAAAGATTTCTCAAGAAATTTATTCTTTCCTGCCAGCAACAGGTCTGAGCCTGTCCAGCTTGCTTCTTTGGAATGTCTGTAGTTTTTATGGATGTTGGCTAATCTCTCTTCAGCTCTTTGTTCACCACTTTTTGATCCTGCTCTTGCAAGCATTCTTCTTTTATGTGCCAGAGAGACACACTGGAACTCAGATTCTATTATTGCTTTTATCACTGGAAACCACAGGAAATTAATGTATATATAGCACTTTTCAGGCAGAAAATATGCTCTATTTTGTGCATCTATGATACTCAAGCAGTAGTCAGTGATTCACAGACCCCTTGTTGAGGGGTCCCTCAGGGATAATGCAGATTCTGCCTCCTTTCTTACCAGTATTTTCTACATAGGTCAACACTCATCATTACAAGGAAGAACCTGGCTGCCTGTAGAAGATGCCACAGGAATGTTGTATGACTGCAACTGAGAGGGGAAGTGGCTTATAGCAGTGAGAAGAGACCGGTAGGGCTTCCATCAGCAAACCCCCACCTTTGGGAGAGGGGTGTCAAAGCAAAGCCATTTGAGGGGCCTTTTAAAATTATGTAAAAGAGATCAGTGCTTCGGCTTTCTGTTCCAGGTATAATCTTTTCACTGCTAGAGAACCCCACCCTATGTATACAGTATGCTGCTGCTTATACAAGACATGGGAACCCCGGCTGTGATTCACAGTTGTAAATCAGGGCTACTCAACTTTGGAAGCCCTGGGGGCCACAATGATACTCACAGCACATGCCAAGGGCCACCACTTAAGTGCGGTTGCATATACATGCAAATATATATACAAATGTATGCAAATAGCTTCTTTCACACTGACGGGCATGAATACAAAGATTAAGGCAAGACTACACAACACGCAGGCCCCGTTTAAGTCAGTTCTGCTGATATTAATAAAATGCAATATTTACCAGATTTCCACCCATATGACAGCACTTTTAATCATCAATGACAGTCCAGGAATTTAACTACTAAAACACATCTCAACAGAAGACCATTATTGTGACTACTTTTTTGTTTTGGCTCCTTCCCGCGAGCCATGCGGTTAGCCCCGCATAAATCCAAACCACATCATGGGCCACAAACAAATGGGCTGAGGACCGCATTGAGTAAAGAGTTCCAGAGAAGCATTTCAGCAGATGGTACAGATGTATGTTCAAAAACTAAAATAAGGCCAGACAGGTTTTACTGGTTCATTGCTCAGGGCATTTAAAACTACACTGGACAATACACTAGTAAACACACTAGCCCCAAATCTGGCCTCTGCTGTCTGCACCTCTCCAAATTTCTATCTTCATAATATTATCTCTTATGAGGATGCATCTCTAAATTGTAACCTACAAATAGCTTTCTATAGGCGGGGCTTCAGAGGCCCAGCTCTCTGGCCAAGTCACACATAATCAATATGCATGAAAAAACTCCTTCTGGATTAAAAGGCCCAAGGGGGGCTGTTCCTGTGCCCTTGTTAAAGCCTTTAACCCTGATCAGTCCTCAGGCTTTGGAGCTAGCTTTAAGTCCATGCTTGCCCTGGTATACAGCAGTGGTTCAGGACTTCCTCCCTGGAATTTCTTTGCCTTCTCAGTTCTTATTGTTCCAGCTGTCCAACAAGGCCACTCCTTGAAGTTCAGCTTGTCCCTTTCTTGGGGCTTTGACCACTCTGCCATTGGCTGGTGGGAACTTAGGCCCATACATTACTCCAAAACCAAACCCAACAAATAGCAGCCACACACTTCTTCTTTTAACAGTTGCTGCTGCTATTCTAAGTTGCTTCCCATGTAACTGTCTCTTAGTCACTCTTACCTCATGGCTGAAGTTCTTCCTCAATGACAGTGCCAGCAAACCCTGTCTTCTGGTTCTCCCTTGAGCTCCAGCTACAGGCACCTTCAGCGCTTATTCCAGGCTTTCAACTTCTTTTATCTGAGCCTCCTGTGCATTGATTGGCTGTTTCCCTGCAGCCTTTCTAGGTGGGCCTGAAGGACCCACTTTCATTGCTCCTTTTCTGGAGAGTAGTGTGGTAGGCCTCTAGTAGGGGGCCTCAAAGGGCCTGATAAACCCCATCACATACCTCTCCCAACAGAAAGAATGAGGCTGGGGGTACTGTGGAAGGTAATGTCCCCTCCTATCCCGTCTGACCCTGACTTCACAGGGTCTACATTTTGACTTAAAAAAAGTCTGGGAGTGCCCCATTTCCTAGCTACAGATAATGTACAATTGCATTTCTTACAATTGCATTTCTTCCCTTTCATCATAGACCTTTTTGCCTGGAAAGTTTTTCTATCTTTGCCTGTCTTGTCTCTGGGATCTTCACTCTGTTTGCAATCTCTGCCCTGGTTAGCCTACCAGGAGATTTTATAATCTTTGCCCCCTTTAGTCAGGGCTCTTTCCAAGACCTCTGGCTGAAGAGATTTTCCAGTTTCTGTCCTGCTTTGCTCAGGATCTTCTCCTTCAGGCCTCTCAGCCTAGTCAGCACTTCTGCTGACTCGAGTGGCTCTCACTGCTCATCAGCCCTTAGGAATGGGGCTGATAAAACAGGCCCTGCTACCTCTTTCCCCGTCCTGGGGCCCTGTTGTCCTACCCAGACCTCTTATTGGGGGTCTCTCTGTTAGAGCAGTCTTGTCTGAATCCCTACACTAACTTCTTCAATGGGTAGTTTACTCTGGGGGCCCACAGTATCCTGCTGTACCCACGACTCTATCTGGGTCTCTAATCAGTATTCCCTCTCTGACCTTGGGCCGGTTCTTTCTGCAGGGCCCAGCATTGTTTCCTCTGCCTCAGACTTCCACCCAAACCCTGGCTGACTCTTGTTCTACTCTGACAAGCTGGCTGAGGTTCCCCTGTGAGGTGCTTACTTCATACAACTCCTGTTGACACTTCCTAAGATGGTCCCTTGAGCCTTGGGAAAAAACCATGTTCTTCTTCAGCCTCTTTTTGCTGTCTTTACTCTGGTTCTGAGCCTTTTTACTTCCTTTCCCAGTTGGTCCCGTATCCTCACCCCCGATCCTGGGCTGATGATCTAGTCCCTCCTGCATCAGGGCTGAGAAACCCACCTAGTCTCTCCCCAAAAGCATAGGTACTGGAACTAGGGGTTCTGCTACAGCTCCTGGCATAGTGTCCATTATTTAGAGGGTTTACATTTTGATTTAATAGCTCTCAGCACCCCCGTGTGCATAGGAAATAGGTACAGGGAGGTATCAGTCCAAGCTATTTAAGCTCACCTAGTTTTCCTGGGCCATGGTGCACCCACAACCTAAATCTACAACACCATTAATTATGGTCCCTCCCACACTATCTGCTACTACCCAGGGTGGGGCCATCCTGATTTTTGGAGTAGATCTGTGGATTTTTTACAGTGCACCTCATTTTCCTATTTCTAGTACAGTGTATTTTTAAATTTCAGATCTTCCTGAGAAATTCCTTTTGCAGACACATTGGCCACTACACTCTCATTTTAACAGGAATTATAGCTTGTTGCCCCTAAATCATGGCACATCAGAGATTCTCAATCTTCTTTGGACACTAAAGGATTATAATACAGCCATCTCATCATACTTATTTGGGGGACTGCTGTCTTTATAGGGAAGGCAGAAGTGTCTTTTTGCCTCATGATTCTTTCTGAGGAACCAAAAACCCAACTTTGCTAGTACTGGGTCTTCCTAAAATTCCTTAGTTGCTTAATTCTTAGTTACTATGGTGATAGACACTCTATTAATATCTAAGATAGCCATTTAAAAAATGTGTGTCTACTGCAAATTTAAAAATTATTTTGATAAGAACATCAGCAGTGGTTCAGTACCTCTGATATCACAGAATATCATTGTCAAGACTATGGGAACTCCTACTTTCTCTCAGATGTCTGCTACATTTTGACTTAAAAAAAGTCTGGGAGTGCCCCATTTCCTAGCTACAGATAACGTACAATTGCATTTCTTACAATTGCATTTCTTCCCTTTCATCATACATTTCTAAGTATCTTTTCATACAGCATCTCTGAGCACTGTACAAAGACAGACACAAAAAACAAATTCCTTTCAAGCACCGGAAAGGTTAAAGACAAGATTTCTTGGACTTAACTATAAGCAGAGATACTGAATTAGCTGCAATGTCATTAGGCAGGGAGTTTCATAACATTTGGGCTCAACCAGCAAATGCTCTTTGCACCATCCATCTCAAATCTGCTAGCTTACTAATAGTGCATCATCCAGGAAACGTACTATACTGGACTATTCTATACTGCCCAGAAACTGTACAGACTCTAAGGAAGTGAGACAATTGATTCTTTCCCATAAAAATGTCCAAAACCCTGGAACCACAGGTTTGAATACAGCAGGTTAAACTTAGCTCTCTATCCTTGCAAAAGTGAAGGTTGAATTCCAAGCAGTTTGCTGTGTGGGAGAATCTGGGGTCTGCTGTTTTGAATGGACCCCAGAAATTGAAGTCCAGCCTAGGATGTGGATACTTAAAAGATATAAATAGCCTCTTTAGTGAAGGGGATTGCTGTTATGTATTTATGCAAAACTTATCCTCCCTGCTCTCTTTGCACAGTGCTGTCCTGATTTCCTCTACTCCACAGATGGCTAAATTTCAGTGGTCATCGGTATATACTGATGCACAAGGAGTGCTTTGTATTCTTTTAGGATGAAACAGGCTAAATTAATCTATAACCTTAGACATTAGAGAAACAAACAACTGACCAAAATAATTCCAATAAGGCCAAAAAACAAGCAAGCCAAAAAATAACCATTCTTCAAAACAACGTATATTAAAGCTAGGTTTGACTAAAGCCCTGCATCATCACAAACCGTCATGTCTCAACCCGTGGGAATGGAGAAATAGACTCTTTTTTTAATACTCAGTGTTTCAATGTGGTCAGTGCAAAATGGAAAGAAATTAGTGCCAATCACTAAAATGAAATAACATCTTTAGTTCTATTCTAAATTAGTAATAAAATCAACATGTTTACTCATACACCTTTATTTCTGGCATTTATCCACATTTAAAATACATTTACAAATGATACTGAGTGCGCATAATGGAAAACATAATTATTTAATATAGCATATGACACAGTATTCTTAACAGAAATGAACTTACCTATATGAGTGAAAGCAGTTTATATATAATAGCTTATGTTCCTCTATTCAAAAACAGATTAACAACAAACTAAACTTTAGAAGAGAAACTCATTTGGGAGGTTTCCTTCTTTGCTGCATTTGTACCATTTTGAGACAATAGCTTCTAAATGAAAAATAAAACTCAATTCTTCAGAAGCAATTTAGAACAGATATTTAGGGAAGCCTACTATAAACAGAAGAAGTCTCCTCAGTCAATGCCCACAAAATAAAGACAACAGAAACTTATTAACACAATAATAAGATATATTTATATCCACTCGCATTTACTGTAATTTCTGACTTTAAAATGATCCTAAATTATTGCAAAATAATCTGAACGCTTTCAATTAAAAATCATTTTGCTATTATATTAAAGTTTACTGAATTTACTTAGACTGGAATTGTCCAAGCCACCTAAGGAAGCTAGGTACCTAACTGCAACTAAACTGAATGGAAGGTGGGCACCTTTGACAATCCCAACATTACTGCATGCATATTTACCCTCTCTCGATAAAAGAGTATGAAATCAACATATATAATAACCTTAGATTAACTACAACAAAGACCTTGTATTGGGCCAGATTTAAATTTCCATAAGTCCCAAATATTAAGACACTCACTGTAGCACTGAATTATCTTAACTCAAGTGCCCCATCAGTTTTTAGTGACATTTGAAAATAGCTGAAATTGACAGCAATATTACCAAAATTACATTCTAATTAAATCCTCCCACAAAACTACAAATACTGTTTAATGTAGTTTCTAAGAAAGCACAGTTATTCTGCATGAGACAATGTTCCACAACAATACAGGACAAAATGTTTAAATTGCTGAAACATAGGAAAAGAACGTTCACTTTTTTATATGGAAAAGAAGCTGATTTGGTTCTGTACAATGTCACATTTTTCATGCTCAAGAAATTGTTATTTATTTATGAAGGATCTTTTTATAACCATCACATTTGATCAATATAGACTACTATCTATACGTTTTTATTAGAAATCAAGATATGTCAGCGGTAGCCTAGGAATGCTTTAGAATTTAGTGTTGCTGGCAGAAATAATGCAGCTCTCTTCCAAAAGGGTAAGCAGTACATATAAAAGGCAAACAGTATACACAGCTGCATTAAGAATTATAAAAGCTCAAAATACAAATTAGAACTCAGGAAAAGACTGTTGTGCCTCTTTTAATTTGCTTTAATGCACCAATTCAGGCTGATTTTCCACAAAAGGAAGCACCCCACTAACATAGTATGCGATTCCGAGAGAGAGAAGGGCAATGACAATGATCAGGAGTAGCACCCTCCAGAATCCAAGGTCCTCCACAAACTCTTGCCATGTTGTGCGGAAGCTGGAAAGCACCCCTTCACCTTGCTGCAGATTTGGATTAAGGAGGGAATGGCTTTCCATTGCACTGTGAAGGATTAAAGTTATAATTATATCAAGTCAAAGAATGCATCCTTAAAATATAACAGTAATCCTGCTAATACAACTAAAAATACTCCAAATAAAAAATTAAACATTTTTCAAGTTTTCAGTATTTACTCATAATCTCAAAATAGCATATAAGAAAAGAACCCTTCCCTAAATACATCAAATCAACATACAGTAATTGACAAGCAACCCTTCAAGGCAGATGATCCCATAATCTATTTTTTCAAAGTATCTTTGCTTTGGGTACAGAGTAGTATTTAGGAAAGAACAATCAGTTTCACACATACAGAATAGGAAGCGACTGTCTAGAAAGGAGTATGGCAGAAAGGGATCTAGGGGTTATAGTGGACCACAAGCTGAATATGAGTCAGCAGTGTGATGCTGTTGCAAAAAAAGCAAACATGATTCTGGGATACATTAACAGGTATGTTGTGAGCAAGACACGAGAAGTCATTCTTCTGCTCTACTCTGTGCTAGTTAGGCCTCAGTTGGAGTATTGTGTCCAGTTCTGGGTACCACATTTCAAGAAAGATATGGAGAAATTGGAGAGGGTCCAGAGAAGAGCAACGAGAATGATTAAAGGTCTAGAGAACATGACCTGTGAGGGAAGGCTGAAGGAACTGGGTTTGTTTAGTTTAGAAAAGAGAAGATTGAGAGGGGACAGGATAGCAGTTTTCAGGTATCTAAAAGGGCGTCAAAAGGAGGAGGGAGAAAACTTGTTCATCTTGGCCTCTGAGGATAGAACAAGCAGCAATGGGCTTAAACTGCAGCAAGGGAGGTTGAGGTTGGACATTAGGAAAAAGTTCCTAACCGTCAGGGTGGTCAAACACTGGAATAAATTGCCCAGGGAGGTTGTGGAATCCCTATCTCTGGAGATATTTAAGAACAGGTTAGATAAATGTCTATCAGGGATGGTCTAGACAGTATTTGGTCCTGCCATGAGGCAGGGGACTGGACTCTATGACCTCTAGTCCCTTCCAGTCCTAGTAGTCTATGATTTAAAAAAATCAGCAAAGTTATTTCCTTTACTGATGTATGAAGGAACTACAAAATCAGCAGAACTGGCTAAAGTCTTGCTCACACACTTATGTGTGTCTAACATTACTCCTGTAAGTAGCCCCATGACTTCCCACATGAGCAATGTATGAGCATAAGTGTCTGCGGAATCAGGCTCTTACTGGATACAGTGAAAATAGCTACTTGGGTATAGTGAAAATATACCATGATGTTAAGGCATAAAATAAACAGAGTAAAACCAGATTTCCCCTTTCACCAATACCTCTTCAATTACGGTCATATCCCGTACCAATAATAGGAACAAAATATTTCAGATAAAAGCAAGTTAGCAATATCTGTTTAAATGCTCTTGCTTCTGATACGATTAAGATGACAGAAATACATGCCTAGAAGGAAGAATCATTTGTAAACCTTTTTTCTAAAAATACACTTCTGGTTAACAGTGTTATTCATATGACATTTTTCCTCATTGTGGAGTACAAGCACTGAATAATAATTAGACAAAGCTCCAGTAATTTACTGAAATATTACAGTGCTGTATGCAGAAATTTGCAGGCATTTCCTGTAAAGTAGCTTGTCTTTTTTGTTTTTTAAATATTTACTTGGCTGTAAAGCTATGATGGTTTGCCCACAATTACAGGAGTTAGTCATCTTCCCTGCTTATTATGATTTCTTAACAAAACAACAGGGTTATTTAAAAAATATCTGTTGGCATAATATAGGTCTACTTATTAATTAAGTACCAACTAGATAATACATAATCTCTCCAGGGGTTAAATAAACTTAAAATGCAATCTTTTTTTTTTTAAAGGTGTTCATTTAAAAAAAAAAAAAACCTACCACATCAAATCATTAAAAAAAAGAACACCTACCACAACAAAACCAAAGACCTCACTCATCTTAAAGAAGACTCCTGTGGCATTTTTCTATTGCAACCAAATTAAAAGCTACATTAAAAATTCCTGAATAAAACTCTTCTGGGAAAACTGAGAGAAATTCTTCTAACAAAAGCATTCAATGTTGCTTCCTTTTATTGTTACAGGTCACTAAAGCTATGCATACAAGCAAATTTTCTATTTTAAAATAGAGAGGGAGGGTTCTGCCCAGGTGTAGCACAACATGGCATCACACAGGGCACAAAGGAAAAAAGAAGAAATGTGATTTGGGAATCTAGATATGTTCTATGCTTGTGAGTCAGAAGCAACTGAAGGGAATGAGGAGGTGGTGGGATTAAACTCAGCCACGAAGGGAATGAACACTTTTGCACTGATCTCTAGAAACTTCTCCAGTCAGTTCAAGAGTGAACTTCAGTGTTTCCAGAGGGAATAGCAATTATCCTCCTTTGGCTTCATGCATAGATGGGAATGAGGGAGGAGAGAGACAGATGGGGATTGTATTCTGAGAGTCTCTAGAATCAGGAAATATTACCAAGAGCTAGGAGTGAAACTAGAAGTCTGAAAAGCCAACCCTGAATTGTAAATCTATAATTCCAAAATGCAAGTTCCATGTTTCCCTGCTAAATCAAACAAGAGACTATTAATGAAGGTCAGACAAAGGAAAGGAAGTTACAGGTTTTAAAGGGACATTATCAGTTCAAAAATCATAGCTAAAGCCAAGCCCCATTTAAGTCAATGGTAAAACTCCCACATGTAAAACTCCTTTAGGAAACAGGAATTGCCACACTGGATCAGATACATGGCCTGTCTAGTCCAGTGTCCTGTCTCCAACTGTTGCCAGCACTAGACACTTTGGAGGAAGATGCAAGAAATCCCAGAGCAGGTAGATATGAGGATAATATTTCCTCCACATTAGATCTCTCTCCAGTTGTTAGAGATTGGTTTAGCCCCCAAAGCATGAGATAACATTTCTTCCAAAATTGTTAGCAGTAACTATTCTAACTCTGGATAGTCATCTTATCCATATCATTGCCCAAACCCTTTTAAGACTGTAAAATTTTAATGATATTAAATGTAAAGAAAATAGGCTTGTTTTTTAATGGGGTGACTTACGTTTGGGCTCAGGCTGGAGCCCAATATCTGAGACCCTATGAGGGGAAAAGAGTCCTAGAGCTTGGGCTCCAACCTCAATGTCTAGACCACGGTCAACAGCTCCCTAGCACAACAAGCACCATGAACCTGAGTGAGCTGCCATGGGCCAGTTGTGTGTAATTTCAATGTAGACATACCCTTAATTTCTAGTGTATAATGCTGCAGGATATTGAAGGGCCAGCTTATAATCAGTTTCTAGTGAATTTCATTTTCAGATTGTCTTGCACCAACAAAATGGCACCATATTTGGGTGGTAAGGTATTTTTTATATTGTTTTTATTCCGTTTTGAGGAACAAACATGTCAACACACGTATCTAGCAGAAAACAATATGGATCCACCAATAAAGATATACTTTTAATACATGTTTTTATTTTTATAGAAAACATCTGTCTTTTAATACCTTTCACTTTCCGCAGTTTGCATGGTTTCCATCTTAGAGTGAGCTCCTCTGTTAAACCCTTTCACCTCCTGCTCCTCCAAAGACTCCAGCAATCGAATCACATCTTTATTTACTCCTCTTCGTTTTGCCAGAACAAGTGGTGTTGCACCTTGGTGATTGCTAAAATAGCCCCCGCCCCAAAAAAAGGAGGAAATGGGGAAGACAACACATAAAATGAGAATTCTAAGATAGGATGAATCTGCATAAGCATAAGATCAATAAATATCTAGGACTAGTCTCTAGTTACAGACTAGTAAACTACTCTTAGTTATAAAAAAATCAAAGAAAAACCACACCTGTATGAAAAAATTCAGTACAATTTATTTTTAAAATACACAGCTGTATAATACTCTTGGTACAAAGTCAAAAAACCTAGTGCAATGGAATCTTATCTTGATTGCAGCCTTTGGATGCTATCGTGACAAAAATAAACTAACAACATATTTATACCAGTGTATAAGACTTCATACAATTACCCTTGAAATCTAAGTTGCTTCATGGCTCATTATTGTATATGAGTCACAGAATATTAAGTATTAAATGAAATACAAGATGGATAAATCCTCCTACTGCAAGCTTTGAAAAGAAAAAAAAAAAGCAGGAGTGCATTTGTTGCCTTCAGATTAGAAGCTGCCAGCAAACATGCGCTTGGGATAAAGAAAGAAGGGGAGAAAAAACATAATGACCCCAGGCTGGCCAATTAATACTTCCAGGACCAAAGACCTAACCCACCAATAATTGCTGACTGCCATTTTTTCCTATGCTAGGATGCATGTGCAGAATGTTCTAAGAACAATGTGACCCTGATTAACCTAACTGTACTCAAAATAATAGTTTTTAGGTATTTTGAGTGCCTGTGTCTGGACACTAGCATCTGACAGCTGCTGGGAGGTAGGAAGAAAGAATATACAATATTTAAAAACAATGAAAGGGGGAGCACTGAAAGTCACCACTGTCACCCAAAGAGTACAGAAGAACTGTTACACATTTACAGTTTTCTTTTCAGACAGCTGTCAATTAAAGCATTAGAACTGTGGTACAGAATTTTAAAAAACCCCACAAAACCCTGTTATGCTAAATTATTCTGTGATACCATCCACCCCCTTCTGGTTGTCTGGCCAAACCAGGGTGGCAGAGCCTTAGCTAACTCAGGGGCTAGGCTGGGGCTAGGCTAGCCCAACATCCCCTCCTTCTATCTACTTTTCTTATATATATAATTTTTAAAAATTGAACTTTACTGAAAATCATTTGTGTCAGGCAACATATCTGTACAAAATACTTTTGAAAGAATAATTTACTATATACTTGAGAGTTGGTCTATGAGCGTGTCTGCCTGTCTGTTCAAGAACTCCTCCTAAATGGTATGAGCTAGGACCACCAAATTTGGTATGTAGCTTCCTCTTCTCCTAACTTAAACCAAGGTCAGAGTTTGGTTGTGTCAGGACAATGGGATGTGCCTAAAATGTGGCTCTCTCATATCAATGGAAATGGAGGGCTCTGCTAGCAGCAGAGACAGTTATATTTTTTAATGAGAACAGGGGGGCAATAAGGGGCCAGAGATGGGGACCGGGACAGCTATAACCCCATTTGGGCAGCAAGGAGCAGGAGCGGGGAAAGGGACAGCTATCTACTATATATTTCAGAGTTTATCTGTTTGTGTGTCTGTCTGTCCCCCAGTCAGAGGACAAATATCTCTCAGCCATCTATGCTTGCTGCGGAGGCCACGGACAGGCCTCTCTCACCTGGCTCTAAGCTGCTATGGTGAGAGAGAGCTGGGGTTGTCCTCTCTCCCCGGGGCAGCCTGCATCCTGAACCCCTCAGCCCCACCCCAGAGCAATGACTTAGAAGAAGAAAAACAAAAACTGAGTTAAGGACCTGAGCAACATTGGATAAATCTTATAGTATGTTCTGGGGGTTTTTTTGTTTTGTTTTTAATTTTAGCAGGCAGTTTCTATTGACTGCAGAAGACACTTATATAACTCAGTTTCCCTTTCTTTTAGAGGATTTTTGGTGATTCTGTAAAGTGGCAAAAAAAGAAAAAACAAACTTACCAAATATCAATCTTGAGTCCATTAGAGACTAGGAACTGGATAGTATCCACGTGCCCACATAGGTGAAGGGCTGTGTTACCTTGGTAATCAGTGGCCAGTAGATCGGCACCAAATTTGTGCAACAGCTGACATATGTCTACATTTCCTCTGGCTGCTGCAAGATGGAGACCAGTTCGGCCACGACTGTCCCGAATATTAGGGTCAAAGCCACTCTCCAGCAGCCGCTTAGAATAGTTAAAATCTCCATCAATGCAAGCCTGTAAGAGGGGTACATTTGTCTGGGAAGAATCATTTACAAAAACATAGGACATTGCTCCACTTCTGTCTGGAATACGTGGCAAACCTGCAGTTAAAAATGACATGAAATGATGGTGAAGCAAAGTAAATAAATACAACACAAATACTTTGCAAATGCTTTCACCAATAAAAATGCAAAGTAGTTTATGAATATAAACTCTGAAATCATCGTGTATTGCTTATTTTAATATGCTGCAGTCTTTTATGATACATAGAGAATGCTCCTTTTATTGCTGTTCACATCTGCTGGAACAGAAATGCATAGCCTTGTTCTTTCAGAGGATTGCAAAAACATTGCCATGACTTGCAAGATACTAGGTAAACCCCTCAGAGAAAGAGAACATATTAGTATATTTTTATATTAAAAAGGAAAAGCTGATGAGTCCAGCCTGTGAGCTAATTCTGTTTGCGGGGAGGCGCAATCACCTTTTATAATTCAGATTACAGGATTGAACAAACACACTTTCAAAGTAACAGATATAGTAACATCAATCGGGGATATTTGCTTACTATAAATAAAATCACTAATGGGATTTCCTCTCATTTATCTGTTCCTTATTTACATCTGAACTTCAATACACAATAGTGACAGCCGCTAAAAATTCATTGTTACTGTGTGCATTAACTCCTTCACTCTCTGCAGGAAATCACATTCTTCTGCCACCTCTGAAGAACATTTTTATACAGTATCATGAGGTGGGGGGGGGGCGCATGGGTTTCACAACAAATTATAAAGATGAGGTCTCTGCCTAGAAGAGCTTTTAGACAAAGAACAAAATGATAAAACAGACAATGTGAAGATAACAAAGGTAAATTAAAGGAAGTTCTAGAAGTGCCGTGGGTGCAATTTTTACATTAGCGCCCCATATCCATCAGAGCAAGAGGTTTTAAAGATAAACATGTGCTTTGCTGTTAGGAGCCTAAAAGTGTGAGGTAGAAATGGTTGCTCCATAGATTTTTTGCTAATTATTATTTGATGAAATATGATTCAACTAGCAGGTGAGTCCTATTGTTGACCGAGCAAAGTCATTTTGCGTAGATTACACTTATAGGAAAGTTCAAGAAATTAAGTACGTGTAATAGATATTTTTAGTAATGTGCTTGCAAAAGAGAAGTAAAAGAACAGTTTTAAATTTGCAGCATTTCAACTTCAAACATTATTCATTTTATTGAATAATTACCATACATAGTAAATTTGAGAAACTCGTAAAGCTTCCATTACTCTTTCTGTAACTAATTGGAATTATTTTGTGATTTGTAACAGTAACATTTTCTTTGCAGTAAAATGATAGTTGAATGAGTGACTTCATTTTAATTTTGTTAGCAAATATTTTTATGAATTCTAATAATAATAGTCATTCTTTTTTTCAGATGAAAAACAAAAATAATTATTTAAACTTTTCAGTCAGCATATTCCAGTGTAAAAAGTAGTGTGTTTAAGTGACATGATTGTTTATGCAAAATTTGATATCTGTAGGTAATCACGAAGTATGATTTTATTTTGCACAAACAAATCCACTAACAAACTCTTCAAAATATACTAGTGGACTACACCCCAAGCTAGCTACGCCCGCCTTCCACCTCTCTTTGGCAGCTTTTGCTTTAGTGGCCAGAGAGCATGAGAGTGTGATGACGTTATTCTGTTGCCCAGCAGAAAAAACTTTTTTATATATAGACAGAGATAATAGATTGATTGACTAGAGATAATCAGTATTGTGGAAGGAGTGAGTTTTGAGCACAGATCTGAATGAGGGGAGAGTGAATATGTGGCTCACAAGACCATATTCCATACATGATGGAGAATAGGCATGAAGGCAAATATGAGAGAAGAGGAAAAGAATGGTTACACAGGAGGATTCACTCTTGCAAGAATGCATGAGAAAGAAAAAAAGTTATGAGGGCTGGAAGGAAGGTAGGAACAGAACTGTTCAGGACCTTACAGAAGAGGACCAAGTACAGTAAAACTCCATTGGTCTGGCATCCAATGCTCCGGCACTTTTGATGGTCCAGCACCATCAGGAACCAGTGCTCTGGCTGCCGGACAATTGGAGCTGCTCTGCCCCCGGCTTCCCGATTCAGCCGCTGCTGAAACTGACCAGCAGCTTAATCAGGGAAGCCGGGGGCAGAGCAGCTGGGGTGCCGCCAGGTTGGTCCCGTAGCGCTGCCCCTCGGTGCTGCGGGACCAACCTGGCAGCACCCCAGCTGCTCTATTGCAGGCATCCCTGATTCAGCTGCTGCTGAAACTGACCAGCAGCGGCTGAATCAGGCCCGCCCGGGGGAGAGGCCGGGTCACCG